ACAATTTAGCTCGGACCCTCCTTTCTTACAGCCTTACTAACTTTATGGACCTCTAACTCCTTACCTAACCACTTCTAGGAATAGTCAGATAACCTTCTGCACTGACAGCTGTGCTCAGCCAGAACCCCAGTTCAAGCCTCCCTGTAATTATCATCATTGGCAACATCTGGCCAGGTCCATCACCAGATAGAGGAAAGTACCTTATCAGAGATACCTCTGTACTCTCTAAGAACAGACTTAAGCATCCAGGCTACCTGTTTGAGAAGGCCTGGCGGATGTGCCAATTAAGCCTTACTTCGGCCTTTCCCAAATCTTACCTCTGGTTCCAGATCTCCCTTTAACTATCACCAGAGGCATCTAGCTGTACACAGGTTGCCTAGCGACTGAGCACACTTTCCCCCACCCTGCAGAAAAAACGGTAGATAGCTTGGACAGATAGGAGCCACAGGAAAAAAGAAGACAGTTTTATTTTCTCCCATTGACCTAGCAACTTATAGATTTTTAACATTTTCTACCAATCACGTTTAAGACTATAGTGGAGCACATAAGATTCACTCTTCTTAGATATTACCCGAATTCAGCCTTTAGTTATTTCATTTCCCCATTGGTCACTTCCCTTTGGGGTTGCAAATGATAATTAACAGTTATTGCCTCTCAATGTGATTCTTATCACCCCTCCGTTTGACCCTGGAAGCCTGGCTTTATATACCAGGAATTCCAGGGCACAGGGGACAGAGAAGAGAAAAAAGTATGGAAGAACTAGACGGGTAAGAACTTGCAAGGAACAAACTGAGGTGGGAAAGAACTAGATTGAAGGGCTAGAAAAGAGTACTAGAGGAACAAGATGGAAGATGAGGAAGAGCCAGATGGGGAAGTCCTAGCTGGGTAAGAACAAGGTGAAAAGGACCTAGATGAGGCAGAATTAAGATGAGAGAATTAAGATAGAACTTAAGAGGGAACAGTAAATAAACAGAGAAAAATCAGGCAAGAAAGGAGCTAGACATGAGAACAGAACTGAAGCTGTGTATAAAGGATGTTATGCCAGAGGAATTAAAGCAAGTGGACTATACAGCTCCGTGTGCTCAGATTCTATCTCCTGAAAATAGTCCTCGCCGTTAGTAGTTCTCTCTCCTGAGCCCCTGGGATGTATATTAAGGCTGGTCCCTCTAATATTATACAAGAAAGAAACCCTGTCTCGAACCCCTCCCCCCCAAAAAAATACTACTACTAATAACAACAGAGATAGATTATACAAGGAAACCAAGAACAAAAGAGTCAGGGCCAAGAGCGTAGCTCTGTTGGCAGAGTGCTTGCGTAGCATGCCTGAAGCACTGGTTTCAATCCCCAGCACCACATAAAACTCATAAAAGAGGACATGATGGCTCATGCCTGTAACGCCCCGCACTCCAGAGGCAGAAACAGAGAGATCAGAGGTGCACGCAGTAAAGGAGTCAGGCCCACTGAATCCTGTGTCACGCATGGGTCCTAGAGGTGCAAGCCCAGAACTTCATCCAGTTTTAGGTGTACACACACACACACACACACACACACACATCCTGACTGCTGGGATTACAGATGTATATCACCATGCTGGGCTGGATCACACTACTACCTCTCCTTTGTTGTATGTGGTAGTAATGGTGATTGAATCCAGAGCCTTGTCCATGCTAGCTAGGCAAGCGCTCTACCACTGAGCATCATCCCTGGCCACCTAGAGCTCTAAGTATTTCAAACCCTCTCAGGGCTGCTGAGATGGCTCAGCAGGTAAAGGCACTTGTCACCGAGGCTGATGACCCAAGTTTGATTCCCAAGACCCACATGATGGAAAGAGAAAAGCAATTTTCAGAAGCTATCCTCTGACCTCTGACCTCTGCATACATGCCATGACATGCTTGCATGTCCACACACATGCATACATGCACATAAATAATATAACTTTTAAAATTCTAAAGACTTGCCAGTTGGCAGTGGCACACGCCTTTAATCCCAGCACTCGGGAAGCAGAGCCAGGCAGATCT